ATGCATTAACAACAAAAGGAGGACTAAGGATAATCTCTGTCCTTTAGTAGACTGGGGTCGAAACATAGTGACAAAGGATGAGGAAAAGGCTGAGGTACTTAGTGCCTTCCTTGCCTCCATCTTAGTAAGACCAATTGTTGCCTGAGTACCCAACCCCCGTGCTAGTAGAAGGAGGTGGGAAGCAGAATGAAGGCCCCATAATCCATGGGGAAACAGCGAGTAACCTGCTTCAGCACCTAGACATACACAAGTCTATGGGGCTGGATGGGATCCACCCAGGGGTACTAAGGGAGCTGGCTTAAACACACACGAGTCTATGGGGCTGGATGGGACCCACCCATGGATACTGAGGGAGCTGGTAGAAGTGCTCACCAAGCCACTTTCAATCATTTATCAGTGGTCCTGGCTAACTCGGGAGGTCACATTGACTGGAGGGTAGCAAATGTGATGCCCATCTACAAGAAGGGCGAGAAAGAGCATCCAAGGAACTACAGGCCTATTAGTTTGACCTCGGTGCTAGGGAAGGTTATAGAGCAGATATTCTTGGGTGCCATCACATGGTATATCCAGGATAGCCAGGTGATCAGGCCCAGAGTGGGTTTATGAATAGCAGGTCATGCTTGACTAACCTGATCTTCTATGACAAGATGACCCGCTTAGTGGATGAAGGAAAGTCTGTGGATGTTGTCTACCTGGACTTTAGTAAAGCCTTTGACACAATTTCCTACAGCATTCTCCTGGAGAAACTGGCTGCTCATGGTGTAGATGTGTGTACTCCTCACTGGGTAAAAAAACTGGGCCAGGAACAAAGAGTTGTGGCGAAAGGGCATTAAATGCAGTTGGCAGCCAGTCACAGGTGGTGTTCCCCAGGGCTCAGTATTGGGGCCAGTTCTGTTTAACATCTTTATCAACTATCTGGATGAGATCAAGAGCACCCTCAGTAAGTTTGCAGATGACACCAAGTTGGGTGGGAGTATCGATCTCCTAAGGGTAGAAGGACTCTACAGAGGGATCTGGACAGGCTGGATCGATGGGCCAAGGCCAAGTCCTGCACTTGGGGTCCAACAACCCCATGCAGCGCCACAGACTTGGGGAAGAGTGGCTGGAAAGCTGCCCAGCAGAAAAGGACCTGGGGGTGTTGATTGTCAGCAGGCTGAACGTGACCAGCAGTGTGCCCAGGTGGCCAAGAAGGCCAGTAGCATCCTGGCTTGTATCAGGAATAGTGTGGCCAGCAGGACTAGGGAAGTGATTGTCCCACTGTTCTTGGCACTGGTGAGAGGCCACCTCGAGTACTGTGTTCAGTTTAAGGCCCCACTACAGGATGGACATAGAGGTGCTGGAGAGGGTCCAGAGAAGGGCAATAAAGCTGGTGAGGGATCTAGGGCACAAGTCTTATAAGGAGCAGCAGAGGGAACTGGGGTTGTTTAGCCTGGATAAAAGGAGACTGAAGGGAGACCTTATCGCTCTCTACAACTACCTGAAAGGAGGTTGTAGCAAGGTGGGCGTTGGTCTCTTCTCCCAAGTAACAGGTGGTAGGAAGCTAGCTCCGGAGCTCAGTTCCTTGTCCTGTGCAATACCTTTTGTTCTTTTGCATTCCCACATTTACCTTTTCTTAGAGGTACAGCACAACACAGGCCTGGAGAAGAACGAGATCAGTGTTTACAATCACACTTCATTTCTCACTCACAACAAATGTACTGGGTCTGGCTGGGATGGAGTTCATTTTCTCCAGAGCGGCCCCTACAGTGCTGTGTTTTAGACTGGTGACCAAAACAATGTTGATAACACACCAGTGGCATGGCTTCTGAAGAACTTGCATAGCCTCAAGGTCTTCTCCACTTCTGTCACTGCTCCACCTGGGGAGAAGGCTAGGGGTGTGCAAAGGCCTGGAGGGGACGCAGCCAGGACAGCAGAGCCCAACTGACTGAAGGGATAGCCAACAGTATACACTGCTGTTACCAGCAATAAATTTTTGGGAAGCCTTCCACCAAAGCAGCCATCACTCAGAGGCTGGTTAAGCACCAGTCTGCTGGTGGGAGGTGGTGAGTGATTGCTTTTGCCCCATTTGCCTTTTTTTTTTTTCCCCCCCTTCATTTGTTAACCTCTCTTTCTCTCCACCCACGAGCTGCTCTCACTCCTGCCCTCCCAATTCTCTCCCCAACCTGACCGGGTCGGGGTTGGCTGCCAGCCGGGGTCAGCCACCACACAACACGCGACAGACCACAGAGCACCAGCATTGGCAACAGACGCCTGATGAGCAACTCAGAGAGGGACTTGTGCAATGAAAACATGCTCGGGGGTCACTCCCGATAGCCCCCTCACTGCCTCAGCAGCAGGCGCTGAGCTCGTGACATTTGAAAACGCTGGCATCCATGGCAAGGGCTTCCAGAAAGGCTGCAAACTTCAAGCACTTTTACTGAGAAAGGCAAAAATTTGCACTTCCACTACAGCAATAGAATAAGGGTTGTAGACAAATATAAGCTCAAACTTCTGACTCCTACTACGCAATGTGGTACTTTTTCCTTTATTTCAAAATAATGCTGCTGAGAGAAGAAAGCTTCCCACCAGGCTGAACTGTCATCTGATCCTCAGACCACAATCCCAGCGCAGGCCAGAGAGCGTAGAGCACTGAACACCAAACACCTCTCCAGTTTCCGTTCCCACGCCTTTTAATTCTGTCCAAATGGATGGGGTTTTCACAGTGCTGTTGGAATTCACCTGTCACTCTTCACAAGCGTTTCAAGGGTGCAAACTGCAGCAGACAGAGTGAGCTTAATTCTGTATTTTCCTTCTGCTTTTTCCCCCCACCTCATCCTGTTGAATACAGCTGAGGGGGTTTGCTTACAACCATCTGAGAAATAAGAACTTTAGCCGCCCATAAAGCATTAACTCAAACTCCCAATGAAATTTAAACATTGTGTCCCTTCTGTCAGACCATAAGAAGCAGGAGAAGGATGATCTCATTATAAAGAAGTGTACCAGTCTGGTGTGATTAACACTTCATCCTTAGGTCCAAGACAGCTGGAGCATGATTTATGAGCAAGGTTTGCATGAGAATCAATGCCTACATTCTTCCCTATTTGACCTGTGCCAGGCATGGTCTTAAAAGAAAATAAATATAATAAAAACACATGCAATCTTTTGGCATGAGTACTTTTCAAGTTTTATTTATAATACTATGTACAGTAAAGGCAAACAATTCCGCATTTTCTTGTAACAAAGATATTATCTATAAAGCAACTGAGTTGATACCGCACATTAAGACTATTGTATACCTTTTGCATAGTAGTAAGGTCTAAGCTTTGGTATAATTACCTGGCCACAGACTTGGGTTTAACAACTTAACTGTGAAGTAATATTTTGAAGACAATAGGTTACATAATCTTACATTTAACAAATTGCTTTACCAAATAAAACAATAATGTAAATTAGTGTCCATTGTGTTATAACATATTTTTTAAAATTAACCCATACTGAGGAATTCCTCTGAGAACTGGTGGCTGAATTGAATTCGCACCACAGTATCTTATATACTTCATTTTTGTATTCATCACTGAAAATAGTACAGGTTGAATTCTGTATTACTCAATATAGGAAAAAGAAACACAGAATAAATAGAAAATTACTGGAAAAAATATAAAGACAAAATAGATTTATTCTCAAAGAAACCAAAAGAATAGTCTGTCTGAGGACTGTCTTAAATGGAATGGAAAAGTCCATTTTATAATACAACATTGTTTCATTGTAGAATGAATAAGCAAGGTAGGATGAAATAAGGCTATTTTTTTTAATGTAGCTCCATAGTAAAGAAGCATCTCTCAAGTATGGCAAATGCTTTTGTAATTAACAACTGCAATTTCCAGTAGAAAACTGAGTCTTCCCATGATCTAGGTGCAGGAACATTATCTTAATACACAGTCTTCCTTTCTAGCAGGAAGACTGAAAACGCTCCATAGAAGGATTCAAAGACCTGAAATTACAATGTTAGATTTCCCCCCTCCCTCCTCCCCACCCCTCCCACCCCCACCCAGAATCCATTACCAATTGCATTACCGGTACTTAACCATAAGCTTTCTCAGCACACAGAGGCAAAACTATTTTAATTTTCTAATGTTCAAGTATTCAAGACTAGTTAGTCTACCATAGTTCTCTGGCTGTACAGTACTGGGGTACTTTGTAATAGAAATGTGAAGCTCTATTGACTGTGCAGTTTGGAGGAAAAAAAAAAAAAACAAAAACACAACACAACCCACACCAAAACCTATTTTCAGATACTTTTTAATCAAGTAACTGTGGGTAGAGACCAACTTACATAAATAAGTGTGTTTAAATTTGCTGTTTGGAATATGCATAGTGAAGCATTACAATGTTAACAGCAGAACTGCTATGAAATGAGTCACATGATCACAATCAAGCAATGTCAAAAGTGAAAATTAAATTTAAACCAAACTGCTTGTGATTAAAGATTAGTCCTTATTATTGAAACACATTAAATGAATCATCCCAGGAATACTGAAACATTAATTTTACAATTGAAGGCAGTAACTGCACAGAATAGATGTTAAGCAAATGACTTTATATAAAGAGCTTTACAAAAGTAAACAGCAGCCACATACATCTTGTGGAGAAAAAAAGCATGAAGTGTATAGAACACAATTAATACTATGGATGCGTCAACAGTTCCTCAAAATTAACATGAGGTTTACATTCTGTAAGGGCTCACAAAGTACTGTTCATGGTAGTTAAACGTAACAAAACAAAAAACAAAAGCTGCTTGCCTGACAGATGAACAGATACAAGATACCCAAGCCTGCAGCATTTAGCTTAACACAGAAAGTGATCTTATATGCATATATCCCATTAGGTTCTATGAACAGACAGTTAATAGTTCTGTAAGAAAAATGGATCTAAAGCAGCAGTTTAGTGAAAAGTGAAGATCGGTACAGAAAAGAACTTACACAACACACAAGACTTCCAGACTCTCAAGGGAATTCATAAAATTTCTGCAAGACAGATTTATTGCCCATTTACAAAGAACAAATGGTAATTACAAGACAAATATAGTAATTAAACATACAAGCTCTGGAATTGTACAAAGATACTCATTTCTTATGGTTGAGATGCATTGATAAAAACAACAGTGCTAGCTGAAGGGACCTTTGCAAAGATGCAATGTAACCTCCTGCAGTTACAAGGGGACATGACTGAAGAGGTAAGACACAGATTCACCATTGTGTGTTCTTCGAATTGCCTCAGCCAGGATCATGGAAATGTCAATAAACTGAAAGAAAAAAAAATAAAAATCAAGATGATAACTTTTACAGGATGCCAGGAACAATCAACTATACAGTTCACAAAAAAACAAACATCTAATTTACCATTGTGCTCTCTTACCTCCTCTAGGAAATAAAATAACATTAAAGCACTAGGTAACCTCTACATAAGAACTGCATTAATACAGAGTAGAAACTAATAAAGATGAGTAAGAAAGCATTGAGTAAGATTGCTGCACAGGAGTACTGCTGAAGACTGCTGACACAGGGCATGTTATCAAAAAGAAATTATTCTAACCATCAGATGGCAGTGTCTACTTGACATAAATACAGTTTAAAGGAAGTATACCTTTTAAGTGCTTGCCCTGTTTCAATAAATACCAAATAAATTTTAAACATTTTCAAATTCAATGTTGCATTAAAAAAAACCTTTTACGATTTTCTCCACACTGTACTACGGAAAAACTTCAAAAGGGACACATGACCACCCAGAACAATCTCATGTAAAAGCTACTGACATAAGTCAGCTTTGTATTTTCAGTTTGGTTTTTGAAAAGAAACATATGTCATTGTTACCTTGCATTTTCATTAGTGTATTTAAAAAAAGTTGTTCCCTAAGGTTTCTGTGGCATCCACAATAACGTAAATTACTTAAGTTCCTACATACAAATATAGTATGATTAATATTGATAAAAAAAAAAAACACAAACCCAAGCCCCAGGCAATTTTGTTTGTCACTCTTTCAGAGTCAGGCATACTCAAATCTATTGCAAATGCCAAATATTTTGCAGCACTCTACTGTACTGCCTGAATCCCTTGAAAACAGTTCTTTGACATGCTTTAGCAAGTTGTTCCGCAAACAACAGAGCTGCACAAGGTATTTTAGAATAATATTTTCTTCTCAAGGCACAAATTCTAACATCAGTGAACAGTAAAATATAAATCCAGAGTTTAAACAGATGACAGAAAACCACCATTGTACCTGGATTTTTGGGCAGTGTTTCATCTTCTCTTCTTGGGGGATTGTATTAGTTACCACAACAGCCTCAAACGATGCGTTATTAATCCGAGAAATAGCAGGACCAGAAAAGATGCCATGAGTAAGAATGGCATAAACTTTAGTAGCTCCAGCAGATACTAACCTGTAGAACACAAAGGAGAAGCATGCTGTGATGTTTACATACATGGCTATAGATGAAGCCAGATACAAATCTATGTAAAAGACATTTTACACATAAATTCCTCCTGGAAGCCACAGGAAGATACAAATATCTACAAAATAATTCAGAACTTCTTCAGGCTATATGAGTAAGTCTCACAAAAATAAATAAATAACTCCTAATTAAAAGAGGTTCTTATTGGTAGTAGTGATACTAATCTAAAATGCTGGACTTCTGACCATATCAACACAACACACAACTGAATTCCAGTACAAGTTTTCTACCTATCTTAATCAGGCAAAAATGAAGTAGGTTGGACAGCAGTATTCACAACTTGTGTGCCTCCATTATTGTCCACCTTTATTTTCATTTGCAATTCAAACACTTCTGCTTGGAAAGAGTTTCTGCGGAAGAAGACATGTTAATGATTTAAAGCCTAGCAAGGTTGTGGGAAGACATGCTGCTGATCCAAGCATGCAGTGAGATGATGCAGCACAGGAGAAAAAAAATATACATCAAAGAACTAGAACACCTTATGAATGAGTCAGAATCTCTTAATTTGGTTTTGACTGGCCTGTCTGCCTCCAGGCACTCAGCTATGTTCTAGCTGCTTTTTCCAGTCTTAAAAACGGAGGCCCTGAAGAGTGGTATTTTATCAAATCATAGTATAAGCACAGTAAGATAGGAAAAAAGACAAAAACATCATCTCATTTTGAAATGACTCAACAGAATCAAAGTTTTCTGGTCATTCTCAGCGTTACATTTAGCAGCTGCAACCTACAAGGAGGATTCTCACTACAACAGGGTAAGTATGTACCAAGGGTGTGTACTTAAGTTTGTACTTAAGCAAGCTGATCTGCTATTTCTGAAAATACATTTATTAGTTCCTTTGCTTGATCTAAATTGCATCTAGGTTGCTGAGATAAAAAGAGGCCTAAAAAGTATTTTAGTGAGCAAGTCTAATTAAGCACAAAGTACATCTCACCTAGATTTGGCGTTAATGAAAAGCATTACTTCATACCAAGAATGTGATATAGGGCAGCATCACCCAAGCAAAAGCATCTTTCTTAGTAAACACTGCAGATACATTGAAGGTTTCTGATGGTTTTAGGCTTTGCTTTATAGAAATCTACTGTAGGTAAATAAAGAAATGCTTCTTTCATAACAGGAGACAAATAAAGGCATCCTTTTTGACAGGAATTAACTGTCTTTATAGAATCATAGAATGGTTTAGGTTGGAAAGGACCTTGAAGATCATCGAGTTCCAACCCCCCTGCCATAGACAGGGACACCTCCCACTAGACCAGGTTGCCCAAGGCCACGTCCAGCCTGGTCTTGAACACCTCCAGGGATGGGGCCTCAACACCCTCCCTGAGCAACCTGTTCCAGTGCCTTACCACCCTCACAGTGAAAAACTTCTTCCTAATGTTTAATTTAAACCTGCCCTCTTCCAGTTTATATCCATTCCCCCTCGTCCTGTCACTACATGGCCTAGTAAAAAAGTCCTTCCCCAGCTCTCCTGTAGGCCCCTTTTAGGTCCCGGAAGGCTGCAATAAGACCTCCCCGGAGCCTTCTCTTCTCCAGGCTGAACAGCCCCAGCACTCTCAGCCTGTCCTCATAGGAGAGGTGCTCCAGCCCTCGGAGCCCTCCTTATGCAAAGGATTATTAAAAAAAAATATCATTGGCTAGGGAACTTGTGATTTTGATCTGCCAAGGGTACTGCCCAGAAGCACACTTTGGGGTCTGATAAAGATAAGCATGCAGATAGCACACAACTGCACAATACCACTTTCCAAAATTCCACCATATTTCCAAAGTGAAAAGAAACACAAGACTATATGAATGCCTCTACCACACGTTTTTTTGCACCCTTTTTATCTAGATGCAAACTGCAAGCCTGCAACTGAAGACTGTAAACTCAGGATGATCTTTACTTCAAAACAAACAGTGATGTCTAGCTCACTTAAAGTTTACCCTGTTGTTTTGACACGGTTCTCCACAGCATTCTCCTGGAGAAACTGGCTGCTTATGGCTTGTACAGGTGTACGCTTTGCTGGCTAAAAAAACTGGCTAGATGGTTGAGCTCAAAGAGTCATGGTGAAAGGGAGTTAAAACCAGCTGGTGGCCTGTCACAAGTGGCGATCCACAGGAGGCCATTATCAGTATTGGGCCCAGTTCTGTTTAACATCTTTATCAACTATCTGGATGAGATCAAGAGCACCCTCAGTAAGTTTGCAGATGACACCAAGTTGGGTGGGAGTATCGATCTCCTAAGGGTAGAAGGACTCTACAGAGGGATCTGGACAGGCTGGATTGATGGGCCAAGGCCAAGTGCTGGTTCCTGCACTTGGGCCACGACAACCCCATGCAGTGCTACAGGCTTGGGGAAGAGTGGCTGGAAAGCTGCCCGGCAGAAAAGGACCTGGGGGTGTTGGTCAACAGCTGGCTGAATATGAGCCAGCAGTGTGCCCAGGTGGCCAAGAAGGCTAGTAGCATCCTGGCTTGTATCAGGAATAGCGTGGCCAGCAGGACTAGGACAGTGATTGTTTCCCTGTACTTGGCACTAGCGAGGCCTTACCTTGAATACTGTGTTCAGTTTCAGGCACCTCACTGCAAGACAGACATTGAAGTGCTGGAGTGTGTCCAAAGAAGGGCAACAAAGCTGGTGAAGGGTCTAGAAATAAGACTCATGAGAAGTGGCTGAGGGAACTGGGGCTGTTGAGCCTGGAGGCTAAGGGGAGACCTTATCGCTTTCTACAGCTACCTGAAAGGAGCATGCAGCAAGGTGGGGAGTTTGTCTCTTCTCCCAAGTAACAAGTGATAGGACAAGACAAAACGGCCTCAAGTTACACCAGGGGAGGTTTAGGTTGGATATTATGAAGAATTTCTTCACTGATAGGATTGTCAAGCATTGCAACAGGCTGCCCAGGGAAGTGGTTGAGTCCCCATCCCTGGAAGTATTTAAAAGACATGTAGATGTGGTGCTTAGGGAAATGGCTTAGTGGTGGTTTTGGCAGCGTTACGTTAACGGTTGGACTCAACAACCTTAAAAGTCTTTTTCAACCTAAACAATTGTATGATTCCAAATAGAGTCAGGCAGGAAGTACCACATGGACCTGTTTTGGATGCAGGACTACTTGATACTCTCATAGTGTCTACAAATACATTGGACAGGAATATAAATTCAAAATGCTCTCAACTGAGACATATTAGCTTTAGAAAGGATTACACCCAAGAGTAGCAATGCTACAGTAAAGTTCAGCAACATCAATTTAAAACATCCCTATGTCTTGCTCCTCAGCAGTTCCTTCCCACTTTTAATGTGTGCTATTTACAATCATATGGGGCTTGGCTTTGCTATAAACAATATCAAAATAAAAGGTCTTTGAATGGAGGATTTAAAACTTGAGGCTTTAAGTTTAACAAGCTTAGATTGCAGCCCTTGACTTCCCTAGCCAAAGTTGGTAGTACATGTCTGAATATGAGTGGATGGGCAGGAGAGCACTTTAGTATTGCTTAACTGTAATACCTCATATTTGTTCTTAATGAATTTAAGTCCATTTCTCCAATTTGTCAAGACGATCTTCAAGCTAGAGTTACTGCCATACATATTGAGTTGTGAAGCTACAGCAATAGGAAGAATTAATTTCAGGAATCCGCAGTTTTTTTTAAAAGGCTACAGACATTACCAAAGTTCAGTGCAGTCAACAATGACAAGTTCTGTTGAAAAAACCCTACTGCTACCCTGAAATGTACCAGCATAAAACCAGCTGGAAAACCATAAGGTAATCCTTTCTATTTAGCACCGCTAGGGCCTCAGTTAAGATAGTGGGTCTACATTCACATGCTCCACTTCAAGAAGTGGACCAGCTGGAAAGAACCCAGAGGGCATCAACAACGGAGCATAAGTCTAGAAACCATGTGAAAAGACTGCACAAACTGAAGTTACTCAGTCTAGAGGAGAATGAGAACATTTCAACTAACTTCCAGACAAAAGACAGGAAAACTTATTCTCACCTCCTCAGATGAAAAGGACAAGTAATTTTATACTGAAGATGTACATTAAAGATAAATATTAAAGCCACATTGAACACTGGGGAGAAAATACTTTCCAATGTTCAAGCTAGGAAAGCTTTATCAAAGATAGCCTACAGAGAGTGGAAAGGCTCCATGATGAGGCTTAAGAAGAGAATGATTTTCTATCTGTTGTTTCAGCCTTGGAACTGAAAAATGCACTAGGTGGCCCAAGTCTCTTCCTATTTATATGACTTTTCATTTATCCTTTTCTCTTTCTAAATACAGATAATAAATAATATGCAGATATTTTCTCAATTCCACATTCTAAAGAAGGACACAGCTTGATCACAGGACTGTGACCCATAGACTCAAGGATCAGAGTGACTTTATTCTACAGAGTTCAGGTTGAGTTGTAAGCATGCAGGACACCGCAACTGTGTTCGTCAGCTATCTGCAGGTTACAGTACAGTGAGACAGTGGGCCAGTTCACAATAATACTTACTTGTCTGCTGCATGACATATTGTGCCACATGTGTCAGCCATGTCATCGACCAGAATTGCTACTCTGTCTTTCACATCCCCAACCAAGACCATTCTGTCCACTTCATTTGCCTTCTTTCTTTCCTTATGAATGAGAGCAAATTCCACATTCAGTCTGTCAGCAATTGAAGTAACCCTAAGTTACAGGAAGAAATACAACACACTTAGAAAAAGATTTTAAAAGAAACAGAGGCATGCATGTGTATTTCTCATAAAACAGTTTTTATGTTTCCTTGCTTTCAAATTATTGCAGCACAAGCTTTTGCTAGTAATGAGACAGGTTAGAAACAATTTTAATTCACTGCTAATAAATACAACCAGAGAGTCTTAAGCTACACTACAGAAACAGATTTTTTCCTTGAATTGACTTTGGGTTTCTGTCATTAAGTGCCTGGCTTTGAAAACATTTCAGCTATTCACAGCTTTTATTAGCCTGCTGCAATACCTAGTCACACTAGATAATTTAAAGTAGAGGTAGCCTCCATTCTAAACCTAAAGCAGTGTGCACTTTAACATCCTAAGTGAAAATACCACTACAGGAATGTGAAAACAAACCAATGGGAAAAACCAAACAAGTAAGTTAATCATGATTAATAATTCTTTTAGCAGTGCTTGACTAGTAATGAAGTAGCTTACTTCATTAGCAATTCCCTCAGCAATACATCTGCTTGAACAAGATCTTTTAAAACTATTCAGGGGGACCTCTGGTGGCCAGACAAACCTCCAATAACAAACTTAATTTATTAGACTTCTCATTGCTTTTTTTTTTTTAAGTACACCAGACCTGGTAGGTATAAAGACACAGGAATAAATAATACTATGCTTTTCTATGCTGGTTCAACCTTGTAGCCTGTCTTTGAGAATACATTTAGAATGTTGTTAACAGGATTAGTAACTGCACAATTGGAGAACACAGTTTTGTTTCTTTACTAATTAAATATGAAGGATTTTTTAGTTACTGCATTTCAACAACTGGGTGATAAACAAAAACTCAAATGTTTTGGCATTTTTTGTGAGTAATGATATAGTTTCATAGTAAGCCTCAATACCTCAAAGGCATTAAGATATCAATAGAATTTGTATGCCTTATTTCAGTCACAAAATTTAATAAGCTGGGAAAACAAACAAGCAAGTGGTAAGAAACAAAAAAGAATTTAGATATTTTAAATGAGTGCAAGAACATGTGGGTGGGTTTTTTTTTTTAAATTTCTTTAAAGCTTACAGATTTAAATTTTAAAACTTTCTTCACAGTCTATTCACTTTTCATTATCCCAAGAATTATTTTAAAGGTCTACATGTCTTAAAAGGAAAGGCCAAACCATTTTCTTTACATTACATTATTAGAGGTGAAGGAGAAGCTGTGAATTTATTGAAACCAACATCTTTCCTGCTGCAACAGCAACTGCTTGGTTGCATTACAACAGAAAGGTATCAAAACCAGACTGTATCTACCTATGTTAAATACAGTGAGAGTGGTCCTCAAAAAATAAACTCATGATCAATTTGGTAATATAGAAATATTTGCTAGGGGAAAAAAAAAGCTGTCTTCTGACTTGAATTCTAAACAAAGGCTGTATCTTGTTAAAAAAAATTGTCAAACCAGAAACAAAAGTGAAAGCAACAGTATTCAGATAGGAACAAATGAATTTAATTGACTGAGTCATCTGAATTTTTGAATACTTTCTACAGTTTATATTCTTCAGATCTTTAACTTGATTAATCCACACAGGAACAACTATGGAGTTCTAATCAGTCTTATTTCCCTATTAATTATTAGAACATGAACACTCACAACAGACCCAAGGACTTCAATTAAAATCAAATTATGACAGTCTTTCACATTTTCCCCATACTGCATTCCAAACATTTAACTCACTATGGGCTTACAGGATTCTTACTTCAGTTGTCTTTGTTGCCATTCGGTTTTGTAGCAGCAGCATGACCAATAAAACTTGAAAATAAGCATTTCGCCTCAATGGCATGCTTTATCACCTCACCGGCCAGTGTGCTTCTGAGCTTTTGCATTAGTTTCTACTCAACAGATAGCAAATAAAATATAGTCTGCAAAATGAGTATCACACACTGTGAATGAAGAAACACTCCAATGAACTAACTTTTCTATTTTCACTTTTTGCCACTGAAAACTAAACTTCACTCCCTTTTTTTAGTATTCACAGTGCACAATTTGGGGTCAATAGGTTTACAGCTGGAATGCAATAACAAAGAGAAAAGAAACACAACGTGAGCAAGCTCTTACCTAAATGCCAGCAGGTACAGCAGGGATAGGCCATATGCTTTGACAGAGAAGGAAAACTTAGGCAATTCCAGAGCGAAGCAGGAAGAGGTGCAGCAACTGGACTAAAGAAGCAAGCAGCAGGAAAAATCTCTTCCCTCCTGTGGAGGGATTCAGCTAATGAGGCCATATCCAGGGAGAAAGAAAAAGATATTCTTTAGAGTATAGAAAGCTCCTGGATGTTTTCAAGCATGAACAACATTGAAAGAACTATTCTGTTTTTACAATGCAGTTGGAATCACCCGTGATGTACCCTGTGTCTTGCACAATTCATAGAGGAAAAGACTAGACAAACTAGTTCACTAACCACTAACTATATGGAAAACAAACAGTTTTAGGCTTGTATAGTACCTTTTTGCACCACCTGCATCAGGTGAGACTATGATACAGTTTCTCCACTCCAAAATGTTCTCTTTAATCCACTGCAGCACTGCAGGTTCTGCATACAGGTTATCTACTGGAATGTCAAAGAAACCCTAGTCCAAAAGAGAAAGAGAGCTTCATGAATGTATGTTTATGTGTTACCTGGAAGAAAGACACAGGGAAAGAATCAAGCTTTTGCCTTTCATATATGGTAGAACTTTAATTAGTATTTTACACTGGCCTAATTCTACCCTCTGATATTACTATCTGATGCAGCAGAAGTTAAACAAATACTAAGGTCTCTCAAAATCTCACCCAAGAGTAGTGAAATAAACAACAGCTGTTCTCAAAAGATCTAAAAAACAGAAGAGATCACCTTCAGGCACTCAAGTAAATTCATGCTTGTGAAAAGCTCTCAAAAAATCCAGCAAGTAATACTCCACTTCCATAAATCTGAAATGCTTGACATGGACAGTAGTATTTCAATATGGGGAAGATCCCCTTTTAGTTTACTTGAGCAGTAGAAACGGAGTCTTTCCTTTTGTACAAGTTGTAACAGCAAGAAATGTGTTAGACCACAAATGAAACTGCTTTTTGTTTACACGACAGCCATGTAGCATAATAGGAAATTCTGATTAAATAGAATACCAGAACTGGAAAAGAAGGCATTTTCTAGAAAAAACAAGGTATCTTGAAAAGAGTTACACATGAGAATGACAAATCACATCTGCTCCGTCTGCGGAAAGAGTTTTGTGATTGCTGGATTCAGCAGTAAGCCAACATTTCCACTTCTCTTAGGAGAATATTGTTCCCTTGGCTGTAACCAGAGAACTCTACCTAGTGCAATACTATAACCTCTGACCAGGCCAAGATTAAAAGAACTTGCCCCAGACCAGTATATTTTATATTCTGGGAGCTCTTTACACTAGACTTGGCAAATTCCACAGAAGACTCCAATGCACAAGTAAAGTTCCTGCAAAATCACCCAAGACCACCAAGGCTGGTCTCTTTCAAAAAGGGGATTTAATCAGAAACAGGTAGTGAGACTTTCTCTGAACCCCGAGAATTACACTTCTGTACACAGCCTTTTAGAACAATGAGAAAAGAACAGAGAATTAATATTAGCCTTTCACTTTAATTCAGTAGAGCCCCTAGTCACAGTTAGTAAGAACCAATAGTTACCTGGATCTGAGAAGCATGTAAGTCCATGGTGATGATGTGGTCAGCCCCTGCAACTGACAGCATGTTGGCAACAAGTTTTGCAGAGATTGGAGCACGACTCTGAGGAATAAAGCACAAAGGTTTTAATTTTAAAAAGATTTCGACTAGATGGAAGGAGTCAGAAAATTAGCTACTTCTCTTGATTTTTCCTTTAGAATATTTGGAATCTAGATATGAAGAGCTCCAGAACTTCAGTCAAACTAGCCTGTCAATAGCTAATCTTGCTACCAGGGTTTTGAAACTCAGCAAAACATTTAGGAATATCTAAATCAGTTTGTACACTCTGCCTAATACTGCTTTGTTGCAATTTGACTAACAAGCAGATAAAATTAAGGATATAATTTTCCAGTTCTTCTATTTAAAACTTTCCATTAGCTTTTCTATAACAGACAGACAGTCAATCTCCTACCTTACATTAAGATCCAACACTCAAGCAACTATCCTGTTCTAAAAAAACATTGCCAAAACCAAAGATTGAAGGGATAGTGAACCCAAATTTTGAAAACACCACTTTAAAACAAAGTTAGTACCAAGCATTTCTTCATGATACAGTAAAGCTTGTAACAGATCCATGTTGGCAGGGTCTTCTACCCTGGTCTATTATTTATTCTTTTTTGCTAATTCAGGCTTAATTGTTGGATGCAATTAGGAGTCTAGAATTCCCAAAAGGGATTGGGGGCGGTGGGGTGGAGAGAAGTGGAGAGAACAAAAGAGCAGCAAAAATCTAATTAGAAGAGTTAATGCCAATGTCAAGAGCTTTTTAAAACTGACAAGAATGCAGAACAAACAGCGACATAAAAAAAGATGGAAAATCATGACTGGAGGGTACCTTGAGCAACGCCAAAGCTTTTTCAGATTGTTTTAAGCTCTGAAAAAAAGCTATGTTGCCCTAGACAGCTTTCTCTAACAGAAACCTCTCTAAACAAAACCTCCTGTTTTCTTTTTTGCCAGTCTTTAAATAAGGGTAATAGCTGTCAATAACATTAGTATAAAGGCAGAACTGCAATTCAGAGATTCCATCTCAGTGTCAGACTGATTTTTGCTGGCACAGTATTGTCTCCTGCTACATCTCTTTATCAAAAGCCTCATCTAGCCTCCTAGGAACCCGCTCTCCCTCCACCCCATACACACAACTACAGAGTACCTCTGCTGTCCTTCCACTGATGCTCACGGGCATAACCTAAAATAAGTTGAACCACTGCCAGTTTAACCTGGATGCTTTGCTGTCTGTGTCATATGAAGGAGCCAGTATTTCCGCAAAACCTGTGCTAATTTAGGTGGAAATTTGATATTTCTCTGTTTTAAACTGCAGATTGCCAACATACTTCCAGAAAAGAAGCTGAGATATTGCAGTCTTCCTTATGGCTCAATCAAGTTTATCATCATTATAACAGAAATTCTTCATTTTGAAAACCATCCCTTTTGGTTTTAGTGGTGATGTTCCGTGAAACACAATTTGGTCTGTATAAGATACGCAGAAGATATACGTAGAGATCTAGGGAAGTGCTCGCTGTCACAACTCAGGTGCATATAGCTTCCATAAGAGTTTGTTATCATTAGCACAGATGATTTTTCAGTTACTGAGGACTATGCTGCTCCTCATTTAAGGCCAGTTTTGTAAGGTCCAAGTCAGTCAAAGCTTTCTGGATATTTCTATTATTAGTAGTAATCTTTTGGTTCACGCTATTCAAATTCCTGATCACTTCAGTTCACCTTAGCAGTACAAACTGACATTTTAAAGCTGGGCTTCAAAATATTCTCAAACCTCTGGCAACATCTAATAAAACAAATCTAATAAAATCTAACAAATCTACTCTTCTGACTCTACAACACTGTTCTCTTATCAGCTCTTTCCTAAGATCTGGTTTGATGCTATGGCTAAGATGGATTAACAGGTGATGGTGAAACCAGAGGTCTGCTCCCCTGATTGTCCCATCCCTTCTTCCCAGGCTATACACTTCCACCACTTCCCTTGTGCTGCACTCTAGGACTAGTCTCAACCCACAGCGTCAGATAAGGCAGCTAAATGGAAGAGAAGGGAAATGAGGATGGCAAACCAAGACCACCTGTCCTGGTAGAAACAAGTAACTAGTTCAGGCTATCTGCTAAAGGCAAATTACATTCTTCCCAGAACATGGATTGCCATTTCCACTCCATCCGGCATAATGAATTTCACTTTTATTTTTTCCATTTCTGTTTAATGTGAATACTACTGAGCTTGTCTCACATATCAATATCATGAGAATCACCATCACACACAAAAAAACCCCAACAAATACCCATAATACTTTCCTGCATCAAATACTAATGTATACATTACCAGTTGGTACTTCTTTCAGTTGCTGGCCTTGCAGGCTGCCTTCCCAGAAGGAAGAACTTGAAGGTTTTACCACTAGGTAACTTGTTTTAGCAGACATGCACACATCAGAGATTGCCTATGTGTTGGTGGACAGAGGGTCTTGGAAGGAAAGATAGCCAGACACGAATACCTGTTTCTCAAGAATGGGCTAATAGGAGATTAAGACAAATGAAGTTTGCAGCTATCTGACAGTTTCCTTTACACAAAATTGTGCATTAAAGAAAACACGCATGATGTTCAAAAGGATTTAAGATTTGATTGCTTGCATAGAAAATAAGTTTCAGACTATAATATGATCCAAATTGAAGATTATTTTAAAATCAAAGGGAGTATATTCATGGGAACCTCAGATAACCTGGCCTCATTATTCAGAAGCTTGGATGACAAAGCTAGATGAGAACTCAAGATTTTCTTTATCTTTGAGTTTGTAAGGTTTGCTTCTGATCAGAGAGGCAAGAACATAAACAGATTCACATTATTCATTGTTCCATTCTTTGACATAATTTGAGATTAGTTTCAGAATTATTAGTGTGAAACGCAACATTACATTATGTACAGAAACTAAATTGTAAAAAAAAATAATCACTGATATTTTAGTTCCTAAGCAAATTCCCCACTTACGTATAACCAGTTATATGAATGATTTCTTTTGTGATGCATTACAAATTTATTCACAATTCTTAAAATTACCAGAAGCATGGGGGAATCCACAAAGCTAGTATGAACAACCTCACAAGAGTAACTATGCAAAGGACGTATCGGTGAAAGTAAAAGTTGTCCATCAAGATTAAAGTTCTGTTGCCTTTAAGCATCTTATTACACTGTCCTGCTCAAAATGCATCACATGCATAATGAACAAAAAAAAAATCCAAGAAATTCCAAAGATTTATAACTGGAACTTCCACTTCCAAGAAAACCAGTTGTGAAGTGTATGGATACTGAATGTTCACTAATGTATTACCTAAATTTATATTTTCAAAAATGAGATATGCTTTGAAGCTTCAGAAGTTGACAGCCATTATCTTGAAAGTCCAGATAAATTTTTAACTGGAAGCTAGGTGTTTTCTAGTAGGAAACTATTCCACATGATTACTGTCATGGCCTAGGTGAAACACAACTGAAATCAAGAAGAAGTGAAACTGAAAATGTTCCCAGTTATACATAATGTAACCCAGTAAGTTTCACCCTTTAAGGCCATATTAATGGAAATGCATAGCATTAGATTTAAAAAAAAAAAAAAAGGATACCTACCCAACGCTCCACGGACCCCTTCTACAAATCAAAAAAACAAAGTTACATGAGCTGTAGAACACCAAACTCACCTGTGACTCTACTTCTAACTTATCTCAAAGGCATCTCTCCAGCATCCTACATGAATGTTTCCTGCCCACGGCTTGGAAGGTTAGCCTAATTAGAGGATGCATAAATGCACCTGTGGCCAAAGCACAGATACACCTGAGCTAATTTTAAATCAGCTAGATTGTGTATCAGAAGTATTCTAGTTTATGACAGCGCTTGATTGTGACTGAATTAATTTACCAACTTTTCCATGATTCTCAGCAAGCCTTTTTTTCCTTTTTTAAGCCTCTGTTTCTCATTTAAAACTAGTCCAGGTTTAATATTAAAATTTCCACAGTAGATTACACAGGCCTTGTTATGAACGATTTTTTACTGTGAGGCCCCTTTCTTTAAATATATAAATCAAGAGCACTTTCATTGTTCTCAGCAATTGTAACTGCAACAGAGGCATGAAGAATAAAGGGTTATTTCAAGCAGCAAGGACTCAGTCTATTGAGTTCTCTTACGGATTAAAGTCAACAACTTAAATTCAAACCAGAAAACAGCATCCAGCTAGTGAAGATAATACCGCTTCAGTTCACAGTCAAGCAAACTAATATCTTTCACCAGAGAGAGAAAAATCTATGTATAACCATAGGAAGAAAATGGCTGGCAGTTTGCTGACACTTCAGGCAGCACACAAAGCTTGTGCATTCAACGTGGGTCAAAGACCAAGTGATGTGATGCAATCCAACAGCAGGAGGAAAGATATCCCTGTCAATAAGCTGCCCAATGTTGACAGCTATATTATAGCTTATTTTGCAACATGGAGGTCAACTACCAAGGTTAATTTCCAAAGATGGCAAACATTTTCTCAATTGCAAAACAGAGGTTAAAAAAAAGAAAAAAAAGAAAAGAGAAATGGCTTGCCTAGAATTGCAGAAGAACTCAGAGAACAGTCTGGAACAATGCTCAAAAATCTCTGTTAATCAAAACCACTTTCCTAGGCTATCCATCTTCAGATGGCATTTCCAATAGACAAAATGGTCCTGGGGTGGCATGCTAGGCCAACACACTGTGGGTTTTAAGTGTCTCTTGGAAGTCTACCACATGGATTTCGGGTACCCTTGACAAGTCATAACCTAGATGCATGGAAAACTCATCCTTTTCCTACACCGAGAACTTGCAGGATGTTCTCTGCAGGGTGCAGAACTCCAGCAGAGCCTTCCAATATGAATTTGGAAATCAAAACACAGTGAGATGCTTTCCTTCCATTTCATCACAGTGTTTACTGCTTCCCTTTCAAGCTCTTTTGATAAAAAGAAGTCTTTCAGCTCTCCTGATTGAGGGAGAGCATTATTCAGTAAATAACACAGGAAAAAATGAAGTTCCAAAGATAATGGGCAAAGAATAGCGAGCTCCTATTTAACTCCTGAATTCCGTTTTTGGAAGTATAACAAGTGGGTCTTGATAGTATTAGTATGCTATTAGAGAGACTGCACTTACAGAATGACTATACTAGAAAATAACTTTTCTATATTTAGTTTTTTCTCAGACAACACAGGCTGAACATTACATATTTTGTAGTATCTGCTATTATTTTTAGTTTCCGCATTACTTCTCAGTCCTGTTATGTTTTATATAAAAGAATGTAGAGAACAACAGAAGGCTTTCAGGATGGCTCTCTTGATGGCTCACTCCTGAAGTGAAAGGGAAGGGGCAGTCCATTTATGAGAAGTATTGGAGAGGAGGAATTTTCCAAAAGACAGCATTGCAATCCAATCTTAAAAGCCAAATTCACATTTATTCTTGTTAGTTCTTTTCAAATGAGTTTAGGTAAAACTAACATTAGCATAACATTAGAGGTTTTTTGTATATATAGTAGAGAGAAAAGTTTAGTTCCATATTTTTTAAAAATAAAACTCATTTGCTATAGAGAGTTTGTTACTGTGTTATCAACTTGGCTGAACTGGTATATTAATCAGTTATGGCAGACCAAATTCAGAAAAAGGGCACTAAAATCAAATGAGTATTTATGGGGATCCCATAAAATTTTTGGTCTGCATCAATAGAAATAATTATTACACATATAAAAACTTTTTTTTTTTAATCTTCCTTGCAGCACAAAATAATGTTTTTATTAATTCTGGTTATGCATTGCAGATTTACTCAGTTCCTTCCATTTGGCTCTCTGTTTAAATATATAGGGTAAAACCCACCTGCATAATGGTTACATCACTTCAAATTTAGGATTTCATTTCACCAGTTAAAGTATTTAAAAAGGTCTACTCTCTCAATGTATGTAGGGGTTAAAAAAAAAAGGAAGCTAGAAAAAGCAGGAAAAGCAGTCCCATCAGGTGAGGTTTGCTAGCAGAGTACTCTGCAACATACCACACACACAGGATGTACCTTCTTTTTCAAACTGAAGGCATGTCTATTATCTAAACACACGCAAAAAATAATTTATTGTCTCGTTTCATTCACCTATAGATGAATATAGAATTTAACTTTTTACCAAAAAGGATAAAAAAGCGAAAATCTTTCAAATCACTTAAATGTTTATGAAAATGTGTTTCATCTCCAAGAACTTCAAGTGAACAAGCTGAAAAAAAGCCTTCCAAAGTTACACAGTTCTTACCTACCTTGTCTTTCTTATCTTGCCTGGCATATGGAAAACATGGAATTACAGCAGTCACTCTGGAGGATGATGCAATCTTGCAAGCATTGATCATGATGAGCAGTTCCATTAAGTTATCATTTATTTCTCCACAGCCACTCTGGATGATATACACATCTTCTCCTCTCACACTTTCACCAATCTCTACACTGAAAGAGCAGGAGACGACCATTTAAACATTTGAATTACTGGAAAAGCATTGTTAAAGAATAGAAAAAAACAGTTTTAAACTTCTAATAGGTTTATCTCCATTTAGACTAAGGTATCTTTTACAGTAATTTGGGTAACTGTCCCCTTGACACAAAGTCTATTTCAGTATAAGCCAGTCTAAAATTTACCTCAGCCTAAATATGGTCTTCATAAGGTCAACACCAACCAACATGTAATTATGGCTATCACACTGATGCAGCTGACATTGTTATTAAATTTGATACTGCTTTTTTTGGTTTAGTCTGTATATTTTTGCACCCTTGCCATCTCCCAAGGAGATGACCATTTAAAGAGTAACCTAAATAAGTACAGAAACAACAGAGCCAACTTTAGAGCATTAAATACTACCTGCATCAAAATATCTCCTTAAAAAGGACAATTATTTTTCTATGATAATTGTTACTAAATTCAAAAAACTACTGCATTTCAGAAGAGAATTATCAAACCACACCCTAAAAGCAGATGTTTGGTTAAAATCTATACCAAGTAAAGTAATTTACACTTATGTCCAAGTAAAGTATTTTTTAAAAAAACCAAAGTCTTAAAGAAAAGGTAAGAGGGCTCATCAACAGCTCACTGCAACACAAAAACTCTCACATTGTGTCAGTTGTTCTATTTACTGTAACTGTGCTTACATACTTTGGTTCCTTATTATAGTATCTAAGAGTTATTTTATTCTTCCACAGATTTCAAGGCAAATTCTGACACTGATCACTGCTCACACCACAGAATTCAAGAATTAAATAGACCTTACAAATAACAGGAAAACTAAAATAGACCAGTTGAATGGGGATTCTCTTGCAATTCTAGACCCAAACAAATGTACTGTTGAACCACACCAACTTTTCAGATGTGTTAATCCAAAATTTACACATAAAACCAGCACACTAACCTTCATTTCCCCCCCCGAATCTATGCACAACGTACAAAAAACACACAGGCTTCCTAAATAATGAGGCAATCAGACCTTTCAAACCCAAGATCTACCAAGTTAGTCTTAATTAGTGAACACTTAAATATCTTGGGCCCTTATCCAAAAGGCTGCATCTTTACCTAAAACACAAATAAGCAAAAGCTTCTAGCTGGAAACCATCCAAATGCCCCAGATGTGGGTAGAATAGTTACTCTGATAGGTCCTTCAACACTGAGGCTTGTTCTAGTCAAACACAGTCCAAACAACTTTCATTTATCAGCTTTCAGGGTGCTGTGTAAGACTCTCTAGCTTTCTGTAGGTACAAAACACAGAAAGAAATTTACTGCTTAAAAACATCTTAATGATATGCAAACATTTGATTTATCACCATCAAGATAGTTGAGATAGTTGCTCTCAGCTCCCGTATTTGACTCCTCTGCAGTCCCAAACAAGCTATAAAGAAGATCCTGTCTTAATTTTTCTCCTTAATTGAATACGTCTGTGTCTTAAGAATGCTCCTAGCACAATTTCTTAAGGCCAAAAGAAAGTAAACCATCTAGCAAACAGTAGGAACTCTGGAAGGACAGAGGTGGTCAGGGACAGTGTCATCTATAGATGTATCGGTGTTAATCCCAGAAACCTTTTGGAGGCTTTCATCATGGGCCAAAGACACAATTTTTTCATCATAAAACTGCTACTCCCCTGTCCAAGTTTTTTTTATCAACAGAATAGGGCTGTTCAGAGAAAATTGGTTTGATCAACATATTTTCTTAGTTTGTTTTCCTTTTTGGAGCTGAAGTAGTTTTGGCCAACATAACTTAAGTTCAGCAAGACACTAAGCATATTCCATAATTGGAAGAACTGGTCAGACTTAGTTAAAAGCCCTACTAAAACCAGTTGTGGTGTTTCTCAGAGTTCCATTTCCCAGAAGAATAAACAAAACCAAATAAATAAATAGAGAAACCTGTCGCTTCCGAACACACAAATCCAGCTCCGAGTAAAGCACCTACCCACTAGCTTATGGACACAGACTCAGTCATCGTTACAGACTCATGGGTGTTATGAGGGCTCTGAAAAATGGTAACTGCGCCTTGACTTGGCACTTACACAGACCTGCTTAATAGCAAGTGTCATATACCACACCGTTGGAATAGGTCCAAAGATGACCACCATCACATGCACGAGCTCTATGGCACCTCTTTCAACCCAAGACTGCGAAGTTACACTCCAGTTCTGAAAATTAACCTAAGAGCCAATACAAAGAAGAAAGCAGAAAAAGACTAAGAAGGAAACACTGTCAATTTTCAGGGCAGAATGTTACTGGAGTGACAAAGAAGGGCAGAATAAGATTTTAGTACTTGGGGGAAAAAAAGTAACCACATGTTTCATAGATACATTATGTAACAGGAAAAAAACTTGAATGACAAAACTACACGATCCTAATGTTCATTATATACCCAAAGAACACTGAATTATAACAGTCAGAGTTGTTTTGCTCCTTAAAAAACAGTCATTTCTAAGCACATCACTAAGAAATAACAGGTTTCAGAAGGTCAGGGAATATACTTTGAGATAAATATAGATCTGTTTAATACAACAGACCTGAAGTGATGCTTCTGCCATTGCCATTAACTACTATCTTTTCAATGACCTTGGGCTAGCAATAACTTTTTCATCTTGTAAACAACTTAGAAAACAAAAACACTACTACTTTCTCTCTTGGTGCATTTGAAAAACTTTCGGTTATGCTTTTCAGGCCAGAATGACATACTTATTTGGCACACAGAAATGTGAATGTGTATATATATATATAAAAATAACTTCTGTATCCACTAGAAGAGTATGTGCAGACTAAAATAAATCAAGCTTAAATTAATACTCACATGGCACTCGGGAGTAGCCCAGCTAAAGGTGCCAGAGAATACCATTATGTAATTATTTCATTAAGATCTTCTCCCGATCAACTGGAGACAGCCATGCAACAGATCAGTATCTCTTATTGTCTACCTTCTCAAAGACGGGTATTAAGAGGTATTGTGTAGACTCAACCAACAGACACACGTCTGCCTATTATATACCCTCATTGAGATGCACAGTAAAAGATAATCCACCATTGTGTTGCAACTATTTCATCAGACATAGCCTGGACTGACCACATTGGGGTTTTTTTTGAGTGGTTTTTTGTTGTTGTTGGTTTTGGGAGGTGTGTCAGTAGTTTGATGCTTTTTTTTTTCTGCCTTTTTTTGTTTGTTGGTTTTACACATTCAGCTATAAACAAACTAACAGTAGGAGACTATAAACTATATTTTCAGATGCCTGAAGCATTGTACCTCATATCTAATGGAGAACACTAAGCTAACAGCAGTCAGACTTTGTTACAGTTATCTTACTAACATTAATACTAAGTTCCACTTAGACCATCTATATCATGACCTAATTAACTGTTTGGGGGGTTATTTAAACAATTTCACATAGTGAGGACACAGAGGAAGGACACAAGAACAAGCTCTTGCCTCAAGATTACAAGCTCTGTTTGTTTTATGCAATTTAATCAAATTCAGCTATTTGGTAATACTCAGTTTAAATAAACTTCTTGTTCAAGAAGAGTCAACAGAACCTGTACATTAAAAGCTCTGACACCACACAACTGTGTTTTAAAGTGAAAATTATGAAAATTAATACCCCATAAAAATAATTAAGCCAGTTCCTTGGAATCCACAAGCACAAGGCTCTAGCTGGGAAAGACAGGCATAAAACAGGACATGATGAAAACCAGGTTTGAGTGTTGGTATCTGCCTTCATCTTAAAGGCTAATTTGAGAGTTCAATTTAATAAGTAGAAACTTGAATAAACTTACTACCATGAATTAAGGATAAGGCTCAAACCCACTTACGTTAGAAACATGTTCCAATGGCTGAAGCACCCATTAAGCAAAACTCAAAATCAGGAGTAACAGCAGGCTGAGCTCCTTCTGAGCTAGATTTATAGTACACTCTCAGCAGAACTTACATCAATGGGAATTTTAAATTTGTATGTTCTAACTAAAAAAACAAGTTGTGGGAAAGCAGGGGAATAAACATGCAGAGCCAGACTAAAATGGTAAATAATGTAAATCCATAACTAGGATCCTGTTCAAATCATGCACTTAAAGGGCTCAATGTACCTTTTTAAGTAATTACAACAGATTCAGTTTCTAGCCATGCTTACATGTAGTAAAATTTCTCAAGCAATTTACATGCCAATAAAATAGATGTGTACTTCAGGCACTTTTAATAACCAGAGAAGAGGCCAAGATTTAAGGTGCAGAGTCCTCATACACTGTGCAAAAAGAATCAGTAACTCAAAAATGATCAAAAAAAATCCACATGTTGAATTTACAATTCATTGAAACCCAGCCAATGGAAAGCGTTAAGTAGAGGGGTACCTCTTACCTTTGGGAACACTTTTTGCATAGTAAAGTCTTTTAATGCAAGACCTCCAACTTACTGGGCAAATATTTTGGCTGGCATGATGTTGTATAACAGAGCGAGTACCAGCAAAGCCCAAAGCAACAAAGAAAAAATAAAAATGCCAGAGTTGGTTTTAAGTGTATAGGTAACCCATATCTCCTGGCACCCATAGTCTCCCTTCAACTCCAAGCTCTTCCACTTCAATTAACAGCTCCACGACCAAGCCCCAGCTAGACCTTCATGGACATCTGTCTCATCCTAATGGTGGGCATTGGCATGGTGAGTACCACAAGACAGTAAATACCTTCTTCACCTCCACTCTGGCACACAGCCTGCCACCCTAAGAGAAAAACACCTTCACTTGAGCAGCTCCGGGTTGAGGCACATGCAGTCTGAAAGGAACCCTCAGAAATTTGGAAACAAAGGTCTAACGAGTCTGAGCAGGTGCAGAGAGTCTTCAAAGGCTGAGTGCCAAATGCTGCAGCTAAGGACACATGGGATCATCAGCCATTATTCACAGAGCTTGTTTTTTGTTTTTACATTTTAAGCATTTATCTTCTACTTAAAGATAAAA